CTACCCATATAGGCTCCATACTAGTTCTGTTTTGTGGCTTGAGTTTAGGATCCCATAAGGTAATCCCAAAATGGAACTACTATGGAGCCTATACGGGTAGTATCCATCAGCCCCACTCATCACCGAAAGAAAGCTGCTTGAGCATTCCTGTTTCTCTGCTGCGCAGACGACGGCGAGTTCAGGAAGTCTCTCTTTTCACTGCTCTGGCAGAGGAAGCTGAAAGCAATCACCCTGCAGAGCCAGCAAGAAAGGGAGACAACCTCACAACAGCCGAGGATGATCGTGGCAATCATGGTTTGAATAGGATGGCTTTCAAGCCGACCGCCCTTCGTCGCCAGTGTCCGGCGATACACTGCCCGTAAATCCGCCAAGGACGGGTCCAGAGGACCCCTTATCTGACAAGGATGCTGCCAAAATCAACCAGCAAACGTTTGCATTAGAAACGTTAAATTCAGCATCTACGCGCGATAAGATAACCTCTGCGTGTCTACTCTCTAGTGGAGTGGTGCTGGTCATTCGGACAGTCAAGAGTCCGTGTAGGACCAAGTATACATACACCACGTAGAAGATTCTGCAAGCCTCACAGAAACCGAATGGGCAAGCTTGTCACGGAATACTTTACATTGACCAACTCTATGGCTGCAGAATCCAATTCCGATATCTTCCACTCACTACCATGGCGTTGCCGGACATACTCGTGGAGGAAGCTGAAAGCAGTCACTCCAAGATGCGGCCGGCAACGAGCAACTGTACAATAAACCATGATCCAAAAATGTTTGCGGGAGTGGCGTGGCTTGGCCGAGCACCATGCATGAATATTTTCTGGACAAACCTTCCACTGCAGCAAGCATCACGCAGCAGATAGGCTTCACTGCACGCGGAGTCTGCGCGGATTCGTGCCGTGGTATCCCTCTCGTGTCCTTGCCTCTGTGGTGGACTGCGTCACGGAGCTCGGATTGAGGAGCGTGGTTGCCGGGATGTTCAGGAAGGAGCGGCTGATCAAGACCACTTCCCCGTCCGAGTCAGCGAAGGCGATGTCCTGGGAGCTTCTTGGGACCACGCCAAGGCTGTAGGGGAGTGAGCAGATCACGCGCATCACTTCTTCCTCAAGGTCTTCCGCGACAAAGATGTCACAGGGCCTGAGACGCAGCGTTGACAGGTGGCTGCGTACAGCTCGGAAGCACGAAGGCTCCATGAAGATCTTGGCCCCAAAGGGCTCCAACTGCCAGCCGAATCCCTCCGCTTCCAGGGCCTGCCGACACGGCTGCAAGACCGGAGACTCCGCCAGATCTGCGCACAGCTGGCGATGCGAGCGGCTCAACGTCAAATGCACCACCCGAGTGAGTCCAGCATTCATCCGAGGCTGCAAGTCGTCGCCATGCCAGCCAGATCCGATGTTGTGCTCGATCCAAGATGCCTCTTGTTCCGCCACGATTGCAGTGCCCTCCTCTTGCGAGATGTCGGCGGCAGGCTCGCTGTGATGCACGTGCTGTAGCACCTCCTGCGTTGGATCGGGGGTGAGTGCACGGATGGACTGTGAGGCAAGCCGAACCGTGAAGCCTGGCGGCACATCGCACTGATCATGTTCATCTCTTCCGAAGCAAACCAGCTCGCCACTCGCCTTCACGGCACAGGTGTGACCTTCTCCAGCAGCCACGGCCACCACCGGACCGAGGTCGGCAGGCACATCGCACTGACCATAGTCATTGTTTCCGAAGCACACCAGCTCGCCACTCGCCTTCACGGCACAGGTGTGACCTTCTCCGGCAGCCACGGTCACCACCGGACCGAGATCGCGAGGCAAATTGCACTGACCCCAACCATTGTCTCCGAAGCACACCAGCTCGCCACTCGCCTTCACGGCACAGGTGTGACCTTCTCCGGCAGCCACGGTCACCACCGGACCGAGATCGCGAGGCACATGGCACTGACCATCGTCGTTGTCTCCGAAGCACACCAGCTCGCCACTCGCCTTTACGGCACAGGTGTGATAATATCCGGCGGCCACGGCCACCACCGGACCGAGATCGGGAGGCACATCGCACTGACCATAGCGATTGCTTCCGAAGCCAACAAGCTCGCCACTCGCCTTTATGGCACAGGTGTGATACTCTCCGGCAGCCACGGCCACCACCGGACCGAGGTCGGCAGGCACATCGCACTGACCATTAAGGTGACTAAAAAAATTATCTCCGACGCAAACCAGCTCGCCACTCGCCTTCACGGCACAGGTGTGAAATCGTCCGGCAGCCACGGCCACCACGGGACCCAGGTCTCCTTGCCAAGCATATACAACTTGGCCGAAGCTTACGAGCTGTCCAGCTTCACTGATGGCATATGTCGCCCTTTGACGTGCGGCCACGGCGATTGGTCTCAAAAGGCGCCATCCCAGAAAGGGCAGAACGCGCTTGGCCCAATCCGTCCGACGAACGTGGTGACCAAGCAGCAGAAGGTTGTACACGTCTTGTGGAGTAACGTAGTGGTGAGTGTCCTCCGACAAGCGCAGAGCCATGCTGCCGGCAGGTCGTTCCACCCTTGCTCCTCTAGTGCAGCCTTGAGACGAAAAGCGGCGGGCGCATTCGACGACTGTTGCCACGCTTTGCTTTTCCACATGGTGTTGAACCTTGCCAGCAGACGTGACAGGTGCCCAGTCCTTCCCAAGCTCATCTTCCAGTGGAGCCACGTCCGCGCCAAGCAGCGCCTGAGATCATCAGGGGAAGGAGCTGGCGGTTTCAAGAGGTATACGGGTGGGCCAGAGGACTACACAGAGGCCGTTCGAGGAGCGGCTCAGTTAATTTACCCGATTCAGATGGTTCGTAGTTCTGACTCAGTTCTGACATTGTTACGACTGCGGTGGCGTCTGCCGTCATGTCCGAAGATGCAAACTTCTTTCCACGCGAAGGAGTCAGTCTTACAAAGCAGCTTCGACAGCAGCTGCATGGGAAGCCAGGCTTGCGATGCCGGCAGAAAGAGGTCTCTTATACTTCATTATACTTCCATACCCTGATAAACCCAAACCCTGCCTCTCTGGACATCGCAAACTGACTACGGGTACGAGTATCAACCCGAAAAACCTTTGAAGACCCAAACCGCAGAGATAGGTTCATCAGCCCCCGCAACCCCAGCGCCTTAACCTCCAAACGGCTGACGTGAACAACGGTTTCCGATTTCCGGACAGGGGCCTCAACAAAAAATTCTGCGCAGCCGCCCTGGGCACTGTAGCAGTGCCCACAGTCAAAGAACGGAATTCCAAACCCTTCACTCCTAAAACCCCCCAAATAAAATCCAGAAGCGATCGTGGAGGAGGCCCCGCTCTCCTATAAGTTCTCAACTTACAACCCCTTCGATGATCACCATCCTTCCCTAACTCCCATCCTTACAGCCTGTATCCCTAGACAGCCCAAGAGGAACCTCGCCACGAGACAGCAGAAGCAAGGAAGTGCAAAACACTGAAGGCCCTAAAACCTTGAACACGATATCCAAGACTCTCGCAACCCTGGATCCCCCGTATAAACGGAAGCCCTATGAATACCCGGCTATCCTATAAAACCCCGTTACAAACCCTCATGAAAACCGAAAAGAGACCCTTTCAACACAGACCAAAACAAGCAAACCGCTGGAGAGATGGAGGCGCTTGGAAGGCGATGGCGCGACGTGCCCCAATTGGTCCGGAGGGAGCTGGTGCTTCTTCCCCCAAAAAGTCCCGTGCTTGAAGCTACAGGCAATATCGTTATCCCGTTTATAGAGGAGATGAGTTTGGACAGCTCAGGCTTATGGGGCTTCCTGCGGCATATACGGGTTCCTGATGAGAAGTGGGATCCCGTGAAGCTTGTCAAGGGGTACTGTGGAGTTCGGGGCGGGCCCCAGGTACGATGCAAGCTCCGTGGCACGAACCTCCAGAGCTGAGAGCCCAGGGTTCTGATGATGAAGTGTGGGGTATAGATGGTTGATCCGAAAGACTGGGGAAGGTTCATGTTTACGGCAACCGAAAGAAGTTGCGCATATTTTCCCAAGCCTGAGGCAAACTCATCAGAAGATTTGTGACCTATGTTTGAAGACTTCTTGTTAGAGCCATTTAAGCTTCTCAAGCAGGACGACTAACTTGCATGACAACCTGCAGCAAAAGAGACGAACAGGGCACCCCGACACTGAAGCCACCAAATCCATGAAGTCCTGCATCTTACTTTGGACCAAGATCTCAGACGCCGCCCTAACCCCATACACTGGATGTGCTGGCTTTCAGATCTTGAGGCATTGAGCTGGAGAGTGTGTTGTTTGACGTCTTTTGGGGCTTGAGAGTTAAGGACTCTTCGAGTATTTGCATACGACTCCCCTCACTTCGTACCAGCAACACGCCAGACGAGAAACATTCAACGTCAGGGATCGGCACAGGCCCCAAGCTCGATAATAATCGTCCTGCTCTCGTGCCGAGGGGCTGAAAGGCCGGCACCAGCTTCGCAAGCTGGCACGACCTGTCGGACTGGAGATGCCGAGCTACGAAAGCGCCGACGACAAGAGCCGCAACAAAAACCCGTCCACACCAAACACACAAAACTCCCTGGCACCCCCTTAGCAACTAGCCATTGGCCATTACCATACCGAAGGCCTGATGCTGGAAAGGGGTCCGAATGATGTGTGCCTTTGCTTCAAATGCTAATCCCCATACGCCGATGGCTTGGCGATCACCTTTTGCCGAGCTTTAGGGATCTCAGACCTAGCGGACCTAGCGGCGAGGTCCTAGTTCTCAAACTTCCAAGCCCTCGGAGCCCCAAGCGCTTAGAAGCCTCAGCAGCCTGAACATACGACGGAGCACCGGCGCCTTCGAAAGCCCCTGAACTTGAAAGCGCGCCGAAATACCAAGAGCCGAAGAACCACCAGTCGTGTCTAAAGCAAACCTAAGAGCAGGAATACATACGAAAGAGCACCGGTAACCATAGAAAGCCCTGAGCCTGAGAGAGCGTTTAAATACCAAGAGCCCCAGAAGCCACAGGGGACGATAAAACCGATACAAAAGGAAGCCGAACCACTCAGCCACAACAGAGCCCAAGAGCAGGAAGCCTATACGAGCATCGGAAGCCCCATGCGCCTCAAACCATATATAAAGCATCCCAAGAGTCGGGTCTGAGGTATATCCTTAGAAGGGAACGCGTCCACCTGACACCACAAAATCCATAAAAAGTCTCAAGGCGACCTGGAATCCGCAACGCGCTGAAACGAGGATAAAGCCGAAGAAATCTCCGGGACCTGGAGCCTCAAACGCTGAAGATGTCAAAGAAGGCCCCATAATTAAGCCTCGAGACCTCGAAAAACCCCTCATAGATCTCAAAGAACCTAGAGGCCTCGGGAAGGGCTCAGGAGCCACCGGGTCCTTCTCCCAAGTCAGAGGCCACGGGGCCTCGAGCAGCAAAAGTTTCGGGGTATCTGGTGGAGGTTGCGATTAAAGTAATGCGTAAGTGGGCGAGGGGCCTCACTTCCAAGCACTACTGGTGCGATTCTCCCTCACAGTGATTACGACAACTATGATTCCGATAAGAACTGCCACTAGCAGTGAAGTGCAAAAGTGTTGTGCTGGATGGAGGAGAATGGGAGGAACTGAGTTGAGTATGTCACTATCAAGTGGCGACTGTTGGTCATGTACCTGCGATTAGGACTCCGCGCCTCCCAAACAGAAAAAAAGCGATGTGACCATTGGCCCAGGCGAAAGCATCATACTAGGATCGTAGGATCGCCAAACGCAAACTATCATGAAACTATGAAGACTGTCTCCAGCCCGAGCCCTCACAAAAGACATCAAGTTTGCTTCACTCCTAGTTTCGCGGGGCCCTCCTCCCCGTGAAAGGTCTTCTTGACATTTATTTTCGTCGGAGCATGGACGAAAGCTGGTCCAGACAGTCGGCGAGGCATTCTTCCGGCTGTTACTTCGGAGGAGGCTAAAAGCAAGTCACTCCGCAGGGACAGCTCAAGGGAGAGGCAGTCATAACCTTTGTTTCAATGTCTCACAAAGTTCTAGCAAAGTGCATGTGTCAATTGATCCACTACGTTCTCAACGTGCGCAATGCATCTAGCTGAATCTAGCTGTATGATAATCGACAAGATGGTAGACTGGCCTTCTGGGATGCTGCAAATTTAGGCCACAGGAAGATACAAACCGATGCTAGCTTCACCCGTCTCGATCGAAATCTACCATGCAGCGTATTGTATATTCTGTACGCTACATAATTATGTATTATCAAACACGGTTGACATCTTATCTGCAGCGTCCAATTCCGCCTTCACGGCCATGCCTCCACCAATAGCACCTTTGGAGGAGGCTAAGAGCAAGTCACTCCAAGGCACTGTGGCGAACACCAGCTGTACAATGTGAAGACCTCCAAAATTGCTATCAGTATTTGCACATCTTTCGGAGCAAGAGCTGCAAGCTTTCGATCAGCCCGACTGCGATTGGACTCTGCGCGGTTTCGTGCCGTGGTATCCCTGGCGCGTCCGTGCCTCGGTGGTGGACTGCGCCACGGAGGCCGGATTGAGGAGGGTCACTGCAGGGATGTGCAAGAAGGAGCGGCTGACCAAGGCCACTCCACGATATGGGTCTGTGAAGGCCATGTTCTGGGAGCTTCTTGGGAACACACAAAGGCTGCCGGGAATCTGGCGGATCACTCGCCTCACATCTTCCTCGAGGTGTTCTGCGACGAAAATGTCGCAGGGCCTCAGCCGCATGGTGGACAGATGGCTGCGGATGGCTCGGAAGCAGACAGGCTCCATAAAGACCTTGGCACCAGATGGCTGCAAACGCCAGTCCAAGCCAGCGTCCTGCAGATCCTGCCGACACGACTGCAAGGCCACGGAATGCTCCAATTCTTCGTCCAGCCGGCGATGTGAGCGGCTCAACGTCAAATGAACTACCCGAGTGAGTCCAGTAGGCATTCGCGACTGCAAGTCGTCGCCATGCCAGCCAGATCCGATGTTGTGCTCGATCCAGGATGCCTCCTGCTCGGCCACGATTGCAGCGCCCTCCTCTTGCGAGATGTCGGCGGGTGGCTCGCTGTGGTGCACGGGCTGCAGCACCTCCTGCGTTGGATCGGATGTGGATGGTCGGATGGACTGTGGGGCAAGCCGAACCTTGAAGCCTGGCGGCACATCGCACAGACCATCGCCATTGCATCCGAAGCACACCAGCTCGCCACTCGCCTTCACGGCACAGGTGTGCACATTTCCGGCAGCCACGGCCACCACCGGACCGAGGTCGCGAGGCACATCGCACTGACCAGAGTCATTGAGTCCGAAGCAAACCAGCTCCCCACTCGCCTTCACGGCACAGGTGTGACGTTCTCCGGCAGCCACGGCCACCATCGGACCGAGGTCGCGAGGCACGTCGCGCTGACCGAATGCATTGTTTCCGAAACAAACCAGCTCGCCGCTAGCCTTCACGGCACAGGTGCAATCTGCTCCGGCAGCCACGGCCACCACCGAACCGAGGTCGAGAGGGGACGTCGCACTGACCATAGAGATTGCCTCCGAAGCACCTCAGCTCGCCAGTCGCCTTCACGGCACAGGTGTGACTATATCCCGCAGCCACGGCCACCACCGGACCGAGGTCGGGAGGCACGTAGCACTGACCAGAGCCATTGTTTCCGAAGCACACCAGCTCACCACTCGCCTTCACGGCACAGGTGTGGAATCCTCTGGCAGACACAGCCACCAAAGGACCGAGGTCGGCAGGCACATCGCACTGACCAGAGTCATTGAGTCCGAAGCAAACCAGCTCCCCGCTCGCCTTCACGGCACAGGTGTGCCAGTTTCCCGCAGTCACGGTCAGCGGACCGAGGTCGGGAGGCACATCGCACTGACCATCCTCATTGTCAATGCATCCGAAGCAGACGAGCTGTCCAGCTGGACTGATGGCAAATGTTGTGTATGTATTTGCGGCCACGACGCTTGCTCTCAAAGGGCGCCATCCCAGAAAGGGCAGAACGCGCCGGGCCCAATCTGGCCATTCATCGTGGAGTCTGAGCAGTCGAAGGTTGTACACGTCTTGTGGAGTAACATAGTGGTGCTCACAGTTTGCAATGTCCTCCAACAAGCGCAGAGCCATGCTGCCGGCAAGCTGTAAGAATCGTTAGACCCTTGCCGCTCTACGCTCTTGACACGAAAACGAGGGGAGCGTTGAATTATTAAAGGACGGCCTTTGAAGGCATTGCAGCGGCCAGTCCATCAGCATCTGATACCGCTGGAGGAAGTGTAAAACCATGCGGACGTCAGGGTTGAGTAGTAGGCAAAGAGACGTGGAAGCCAGCAGTTTGCAACACCCGGACTAGGCAGGACCCGTAGCTCAGCTCCTTGCAGCCTGTGATGATGCTCGGGCCGTTCGTGTGGGCCTTGCACGCCTCAGGCTTTGATATATATTTACATAGACCATTTCATGGAATCTGGAAAGGGATCATGGGGCAGTCTTGATTGGGTCCCCCGTAGGGGTCTTGTGGCTAGCCCTCGAGAGTCTGACTGACCCGATTTCGCTGAGGTTCTGATGGACAAAACTCGAGGCAACAGTGGCATCTGCCGCGGGTTTCCTATTGCAGAACCAGTCGAAGGAAGAGGACTATAGGACATTGGGTTGCGCGGGAAGCCCGCTTAATGCAGGCACATTCGAAGCCTTGGACAACTCCAACTCCAACTCTACAGCATAAGCTCGGATAGCCATAAGACTTAAGACCTATACACCACAGATCCGGTTAAAGCCAGCCTCTGCTGCCCAAGAGCCGAAGCTGAGAACCCTCCCAAGCAAAATTTCAATGAGCGATTGCTATTTAACCATGCAAGGTTCAACATAACACCATGGCCTGAACCCAAATATGGGTAGTTCTCTAAATCAGGGTCCCTTGTAAGGCCCCCAATATAGTACGGCACCCTTATAACAAGGAACCTAAACGGGACCCTATTTTAGAGAACTAGCCAATATGGCGGACGGGGTCAGGCTTTGCAGGGTCTGTAGGCCCTGGCCCAAGGATCTTCGGCCCCTAGAGCTACGCCAAAGAGCCGAAAAAAGAACCATTAAAGTTAACTAAATAATGGCCTGAACCCAATATGGCGGACGGGGTCTTCGGCCTCGGAAGTCGCCCCAAAGCTACGCCAAAGAGCCGAACTCAGAACCATAATTGACTATAGTATGGAACAGTAACTTAATTTTTTTTAATTCCAAGCGAAGTATGGAATAAAAGTTATTTCTCATACATTCACATAATACAATAAAGCAGAATATAGCAACTATAGCAACCGTACGGTATACTCTACTCCGAACCCCAGAGCCGCTCCACCCATGAAGTCGATGCTCCAAAAACAGGGGCGCGACACAGTTTATAGGGTTTAGGGGTTTAGGGTTTTCAGGGATATAGGGTTTAGGGGTTTAGGGCTGTTCGGGTTATAGGGTTTAGGGGTTTAGGGTTTTAGGTTTAGGGTTTTTAAGGTTTTGGGTTTAGGGAGCCCCTGAACAGCGACAAATATTGTTGTTGCCCGCTAGGATGTCTGACAGCCTACAGCACAGGGGCACAAAGATCCAATATGGGCTTGATATAGCCCTGAAAGCTATCAATGTCCAAGAACATCCAACTCTCTCTCCCCGCCGCGGAAAAAAACTCGAAGCCCCCTGATTAACTCTATCTATTCGAACGAGCCAGACTCACTCCCAACCTGTATGAAGCCTCTAGCCTGTGTTCCCAGGCTGCTGAAGCTACCGAGGCTGAACACAACCACCCACCAATGCCGGTGAAAATCCGAAGCCTGGCAGGACCCAAAACTCTAAACCCCGTATCCACTCGTTGAGCCCTAAAAAGTGCGAATCAAACCCTTGCAAGACCCGCATACAAAGCCGATGAAGCGGCTGGTAGAATCCTGTGTAAATGAAAAAACCTCTTGAAGGCCAACCACACCCCCTCATCAAAACCATATCAAAAGTCCGACAAAACACTTATCAACACCAGAGACGCCGCCCCTAAACCCCCAAAAGCCCTAAAACCCTAAACCGCAATAAGATGTTAAGGGACTCTCAGGCCGGGTAGCCGGAGACTCTGAAAAGCCAGCCCGACTCACGGCGCACTGCATGGGCGCCCTCCTGCCACAACAGAACTTTCAGAAACCGGCGTAAAGAAGAGCTTTTTGTGTACCTTACACATAATTATAAGGAGTTATACAGTAGGTAGGGTTCAGGGGAGCTTTCAGTCGGGTCTGAGGTTTTGGGTCGCATTGAGGCTTTTTAAACGAGAGAAGCTTCGAGTTGCGTTGTCGAGGAGGTTTCCATATACCCTACGAAAAAGTGGGTTTTGGTAGGTTACGGTAGGAGTTAGATGTAGGATTCAGGGGGTTGTCAGTCGTCGGGTCTGAGGTTTTAGGTCGATGTGGCCCTGGAGGTCTTGGGCCGGAGGTCCCAGGGAATCTCCGAAGCACCAGTCCTTTCAATCCAATCCGAAAACATCCCCTTCCGGGTCGAAGGGCGTTTTGGAGCCCCGAGGATCCTCACTACCCCCGAGCTCAAAAGCCATGAAAGAGTGGATGCTCCTGTCTCTGAGGGCCTTCACTTTCAGCTTGCGTCGGATTGCCAGGCATGGGGGCGAACTGCAGACCCCAATCCCTCGAAACATCTCTCTTCAGCCACATATGTATGCTGTCATTAGGATTCGGACCCCGCACCTCCCCACCAAAAAAGAAGCGAACTGGTCGCGAAATCATAGCCTCTTTAGGGGCCCCCCCTGAACCTAAAGCAAAGCCCTTGAGATGCACGGTTTCACAACGCGGGCGACAGCCAATTCGGCGAGTCTCTCTGGCGGCTCCCGGTTCGGAGGAAGCTGAAAGCAAGTCGCTCCGCAAAGACAGCCCAAAGAGAGAGGCAGCCGAATGAAGAACTTTAACGGCCCAGGCTGCAAACTGCGCTGGACAATGGAGACGACCCCTTCCTGGATGGAACATACCAAATTTATTGTTGGCTGTAACCTAAAAGACCTAAAACTACTGTTGCACATCAAGCTTGCACCCTGACGGCTGCATCCCATTCCTTCTCGCAGCGATAAGCCTGCCACACGCGCTCGGAGGAAGCTCAACGCAAGTCGCCCCAAGGCACTACGACGGGAGGTTCTCCAAAAATGCTTCGGCCGGGAGCCGGCATGAAGCATGGAAGGTCATGAAAGATTCGCTTGGAATCTGCGCGGGTTCCGGCCGTGGTTTCCCTGACGCGTTCGCGCCTCTGTGGTGGACTGCGACACGGAAGAAGGATTGAGGAGCGTCACTGCGGGAATGTTCAAGAAAGAGCGGCTCACCGGCACCACTTCCCCATCTGAGTCAGCGAAGGCGATGCTCCGGGAGCTTCTCGGGATCACACCAATGCGGGGATCTGCCGGAGCACTCGCCTCACCTCTTCCTCCAGGTTTTGCGCAACAAAGATGTCGCAGGGCCTCAGCCGCATGGTGGACAGATGGCTGCGGATGGCTCGGAAGCAGACAGGCTCCATGAAGATCTTTGCTCCAGATGGCGGCAAACGCCAGTCCAAGCCCTCCTCTTGCAGGGCCTGCCGGCATGGCTGCAAGGCCGTGGACTGCTCAAGAACTTCGTTCAGCTTCTTATGAACGGCGCTCACCTGCATATGCACAACCCGAGTGAGTCCGGCATGCATCTGGGACTGCAAGTCGTTGACATGCCAGCCGGATCCGATGTTGTGCTCAATCCAAGATGCCTCCTGCTCCGCCACGATGGCTGCACTTTCTGATTGCGAGATGCACCGGCTGCAGCACCTCCTGCGTTGGATCGAGTGTGGATGGTCGGATGGCGTGTGGGGCAAGCCGAACCTTGAAGCCTGGTGGCACATCGCACTGACCATAGTGATTGTTTCCGAAGCACACCAGCTCGCCACTCGTCTTCACGGCACAGGTGTGTGCTCGTCCGGCAGCCACGGCCACAACCGGACCGAGGTCGGGAGGCACATCGCACTGACCATCGTCATTGTCTCCGAAGCACACCAGCTCGCCACTCGCCTTCACGGCATAGGTGTGCCTGGCTCCGGCAGCCACGGCCACCACCGGACCGAGGTCGGGAGGCACATCGCACTGACTGTATTCAATGTATCCGAAGCAAACCAGCTCGCCACTCGCCTTCACGGCACAGGTGTGTGCTCGTCCGGCAGCCACGGCCACAACCGGACCGAGGTCGGGAGGCACATCGCACTGACCATCGCCATTGTATCCGAAGCAAACCAGCTCGCCACTCGCCTTCACGGCACAGGTGTGATGTCCGCCGGCAGCCACGGCCACCACCGGACCGAGGTCGGGAGGCACATCGCACCGACCACAGTCATCGTTTCCGAAGCAAACCAGCTCGCCACTCACCTTTACTGCACAGGTGTGATATCTTCCGGCAGCCACGGCCACCACCGGAGCGAGATCGGGAGGCACATCGCACTGACCACGCCCATTGTGTCCGAAGCACACCAGCTCGCCACTCGCCTTCACGGCACAGGTGTGCCTGGCTCCGGCAGCCACGGCCACCACAGGACCGAGGTCGGGAGGCACATCGCACTGAACATAGTCATTGTTGCCGAAGCAGACGAGCTGTCCAGCTTCACTGATGGCACATGTTGCGAGTTCACCTGCGGCCACGGCCCTTGCTCTCAAAACGCGCCATCCCAGAAAGGGCAGAACATCCTTGGCCCAATCCGTCCGACGAACGTGGTGACCAAGCAGCAGAAGGTTGTACACGTCTTGCGGAGTAACGTAGTGGTTGCTGTCATCTAGCAAGCGCAGAGCCATGCTGCCGGCAAGCTGCAAGAATCGTTAGACCCTTGCCGCTATATGCTCTTGAGACGAAAACGAGGGGAGCGTTGACTTATTGAAGGACGGCCCTTTAAGGCATTGCAGTGGCCAGTCCATCAGCACCTGATATCGCTGGAGGAAATTGCAAAACATGGACTTCAGGGTTGAGTAGCAGGCAAAAAGGACATGGAAGCCAGCAGTCTGCAACACCCGGACTGTGACCACTAGGCAGGACCCGTAGCTCAGCTCCTTGCAGCCTGTGATGATGCTCGGGCCGTTCGCGTGGGCCTTGCAAGCCTCGGGACTTTGTTATATTTTTTAGAGACGATGTAATGAAAACTGGAAAGGGACCATGGGCACCTTGATTGGGTCCTGACTTCTTGCTAGAGCCATGTAGGCCTCTCAAGCAGGATGACTAACTTGCATGACAACCTGCAGCAAAAGAGCCGAACAGGGCACCCCGACACTGAAGCCACCAAATCCATGAAGTCCTGCATCGAACTTTGGACCAAGATCTCCGACGCCGCCCTAACCCCATACACTGGATGTGATGGCTTTCAGATCTTGCGGCACTGAGCTGGAGAGTATGTTGGCTGACGTGTCTTTAGAGGCTTGAGGGTTAAGGCATGTTCGAGTATTTGCATACGACTCCCCTCTCTTTGTACAAGCAACACTCCAGACGAGAAACATTCAACGTCAGAGATCGGCACAAGCCCCGAGCCCGATAAT